TGACCTCTTCCAACCTTATTTTTCATTGTTGGTCTTTTCTTCAGTCATACTGATACTTTTACTGTTCCTGCTTCCTTGCCTTTACAATGTGTTTTTTAAAAAAATCTATCCTGAAATGTCTTAATCATTCCTAGATCCAGCTAAGGTCTTACCTCCTACTTGACGTCTTTCCTGACTACATTTCAGTTCATGGTTATCTCTCATCTTGTCAAAATTCTATAGCATGCATCCTCTATTCTGCTCATTTGGCAATGATTAATAGAATACTGTGTACTATTATGTATTATTAGATACAGGCATGCATTAGGGCCAGTTCACAAGAGTTGATCATTAAATTTTCAATGTGAGCATTCAAACCTTGGAAAATGGTACAAATCAGGGCTTAATTTATTGTTTTATTTATTGTCTAGGTTTAAAAAAAGTGATGGACAAAAATGTTAATGAAGCAGATTAAACTTGAAAGCATGAGGTTCTTGGGGGGGAAGCTGATTGTTAAACATTTACCCTCATACCCCTTGATTAGATATCCATATGTATGTGTAGCACCCAGGCCCACCCCATTGCTTTCTTTGGTCCCTCAGAAAACTTTCCAAGTTTGAGGTGCTCTGAGGGTCCACACCCATCCAAATAAATAATTTACAAGCTCCCATCAGTGTCTATTTTTTATTTAGGCAACTGGAAAGGCACATTAATTCAAAACATTTAATCAAACAACTTAGCAAATAAAAAAAGTGATACAAAAAGCTTCCAGAAGTACCTTTCCCTCCCCCCCTCCAGAGGTGTACTTTCCCACAGGTTACCATACCAACAGAATGACTATATACCCATGGCCAGGGAAGAGTACACATGAAGTCAAGTGTCATATTCTCTGGAGCGTGTGTGGCTAGGGCTAATATTTGCCAAGGCTACTCAGACTCCTCACGCTGAAGAGCCTCTTGTGCTCTCTGGTGGTATATCATTAGGTTATTCTCAATTGATCTCTGTTGGATATCAAGTCTGCTGAGAATTGAGTTTTCCCTGCAAATCATCACTACCATTCCCAAAAGGCATATGTTAGTTAATTCTCCTGTAACTCCTGTCATCATCCCTACAACTTACCTGTCTAAATCACTCCTACCCAGTCTTGACTCCTATATATACATGCATGCTTTTCCCCCCCTATTAAAATGTAAGCTTTTTGAGGATGGGACTGTCTTTGCTCATAGCTGGCACAGTGTCTGGCCCATAGTAAGTGTTTAATAAACGCTTTTTCATTCATCTGTTCACATATTCATCCATTCATTCATTGTGCAGGTTCTCCCTTGGGTTTTATCTGTGTTGTTCGATGAGTTGTTCTCTGCTACCCTCTGCTGGTCTTCAGAATTTTTAGACTAGTAAGCCTTTCTTGCAAGGAAGGACTAAAGCCCCATACTTTTGCCAGCGGCATCCAGCCAGCCAAGAAGCAGATGTCATCAAGCAGGCACCCTTGGGATAAGAATGAGTCTGTCCTTTACATCTGTGAGATCTCTGGTTGTTTATCTGTGTCTTCAAACTGTTTCAGGAACTTCATCTAATGAAATAACTGAGGAGCAGTGGAACACAAGAGCAACGAGGTGTTGTTTTCTTCCCTTCCCCCCCAAAATTCCTGGTTAGCTTGCAAATAACTAAATACGGAGACAAGAACCTCCCTACCTTCTACAATCCTTCCTTTTTTGTTCACATCTATTAGCAATAAAAATTGCTGGTTGTTAGACAGAAGGAAGGGTAGCTAGGTGCTACAGTGGATAGTGTCAGGAAGACTCATTTTCCTGAATTCAGATTTGACAGTGTGACCCTAGGCAAGTCATTTAACTCTATTTGCCTCAGTTTCCTTATCTGAAAATGAGCTGAAGAAGGAAATGGCAAACCACTCTAGTATCTTTGCCAAGAAAACCCCAAAAGGGGTTGCCAACCATCGGACACTACTGAAATATGATGAAAAACAATAAAAAGCCACAAGGAACTATGTCTTATGATACCTTGTACCTTCCACAGCGCTCGTATTTGATGTTTTGTATACTAATAAACTATTAACCATTTTCATACTCTTATTCATACAAGACACTGAATACTATAGGGAATATGATGAGGATAAAGTCTTGGTCTCTGTTCTCAAAGGGCCTATAATTTTGGGGCAGATAAAATAGAATAGATAAGACAAAACACAAATAGATGAGTGGTATAAATAAATACTGTGGTTCAAAGGGGGAGGGGAGCAAGACTTCTGGAGAAAGGTGATCATACTGATTTTCATTTCAATAAATATTTAATATGGACATATTTTGTTACATATTTAAAATACAAATGTTTCAAGAAGTAAGCATAAATATTGTACACGTATAAAATAAGCACCTTTACAAATATTTGAATAAACATTTAAATGTAAGCATTTCATAGATCTGTTGATTGGAGGAAAGAACACCAAATATCTCGCCTTCCCTTCCCCCCCCACCTCCTAATTTGCCATTTAACACTTTATATTTAAAGCAGTAACAACTGAGAGGCCTTGGGATTAGAAGAGAGGAGGTCTTTATTCAGAACAAGTAGAACATTACTTAAATAATATGGTGGCTTAAGAATTTATGGGGAGTCAATTTTGCAAGCTCATCTGATACCTTATGCCAAGAGGAAGGTTTTCTTTTGCACTTTAATTACAGATCCCCCCCCCTCATATGTAATTTTTTTTTTCTATCACTCACAAATCATTGTAACTGTTAGTACTGCAACCAAGAAGAATAATTCAGTCACTAGTCTTGCTTTGGATACCTCTGATGTTCCACATAACCAATCATATCTCCTCCCATTTCTGAGCTAAAATAAATTGGTTCAGGAATTTTTGAAGTTCTTCCTGGCCTCCCTTAAGAATTGTTATGTTTTATTGTTTTTGTTGTACCTTGTGGTAATATGATCCTCTGTCTTCACTGTTTTGAGGCAGGCTTTTTAGTGTTTGGCACTACCGTGAAGTATTAATAGATTTCTTTGTGCTAGTTTTTAGTTTGATGTGATGAGACTATCATACAATAGAGCACAAAGTATGATAACTTTGAGGGTCCCAACAGAAGTTTAGTTTATATTGTTAGATGCTATCTCTAACACCTGTCCTAGAAACTTGATTGTCCAAAATTTCATTTATTAATCTTCCATCTTAAGTCTTTAACTTGAGAGATGTCAGGAAAATTTTCAGTCATTTCTTAACAATTGAAGACTGATTTCTCAAATGACTTACAAATATTAGGTGTTCTCTCCAGAGACAGGTGAAAATTGCCATTTCACTGATCACTTCAATTTCTATATCTCATCATTTTCCAGATCTGTTGCAACTCTTTGAGATGCATTTTTAAAAAATAATACCCACCTTTTACTTCATCCTGATGTCATTTGGATACAAACTTCATGGTAAATTTAAAAACTTCTCAATTTATTTCTGCAGTTATTCTAATTGTGGAGTCTTTAGTAAAATTACTTGTCTTTTTCTTTTTTCCCTTCCTTCCTTTCTCCTTCCTTCATCCCTCCTTCCTTCCCTTCTTCCCTTCCTTCCTCTTTCTTTCTTCCTCCCTTTTTTTCTAAAATCAACCAGCTCATCATTTCTTACAGCACATTTTTTATAGCACAATATTCTATCTCAATCTTATACCTCAACTCGTTCAGCCATTTCCCAATTGATGCGCATCCCCTCAACTTCCAGTTCTTTGCCACCATAAAGAGAGCTGCTATAAATATTTTAGAGCGTATAAGTTATTTTCCTTTTTCTCTAATTACGTTGGGTGGCATTGATGGATCAAAGGGTATACACAGTTTTATAACTCTGGGTATATTTCCAGATTGTTCTCCAAAATGGTTGGATCAGTTCACAGTTCCACCAACAGTGAATTAGTGTCCCAGTTTTTCCATATCCACTCCATCATTTGTTGCTTTGCTTTTCTATCATTTTAGCCAATCTGATATCTGTAAAGTGACATCTTAAGGTTGTCTTAATTTGTTTTTATTTTTCAGTGGGTGAGATGTGTGAGAGAGAAAATCAATACTAATTGAAAAATAAAATAAATTAAAAAACCCAAATGAGTATTTAAAATGTAGTTTTCTTTTTTTGAACTGTTGTAAATTCTAAGCATATCAGACACATCTCTCTCAAATTGTAAGTACAAAAACAACCTTTAAACTAAATGTATATATTTTTGTGTTGTCCTTGCCGTCAGAGAGAAGGCAAAGGATGAATGACCACTTGTTGAAGATAATGTAAATAGAATACTTAGTTAGGTCCAGGCTGGACTAGATATCTTCCGAAGCTTCTTCCTAATCAGTGAAAATACTTGATGGTTCTCCATTGCTCTAGGTTCTCTTCTTATATCAAAAACTGTTTCCAATTTTAGAGTACATTGCAAGTGATGAGCTAATAAGGATTTCGAGTTGGGTCAGAGATATGCTTCTCTTTTTCCACGTCCTTTTAGGGAAAGAGATAAGAACCAGACACGTGATTTCATAGGCAAGGAACTCTTGGGAAGAACTCCTTCTATCAATGCAAGTTCACTCCTTCTCCACAACTTATAGCCTTAGACATTTGCTTAGAGTACTAAATGATTAACTGACTTGCCCAGGGTGACAGTGTATGTCAGATGTGGGTTTTATACCTGGGTCCCTGAGGGCTTCAAGGCCAGCTCTATCTACTACACCATGGCTGCTTGTCATCCTACTGCAAATATTTTAAAATTTGAAATTCAGATGATTGGGTAAGAGTTTTCTTGGAAGAGCTCAGATTTTGTATTTTTTCCCATCTGTTAAGATATATGTGTATATCTTCAATGATGTTAATTAATAGCTTGCTTGGACATATGCACATCATTAATTGGCTGAGAAATATAATTTCTCAGTTGAAGTATGGAATTTCTTTGTAAATTCCCTTGAGGAACAGTTGATAAGGTCATTGTGAAAATGTCTCTTTTTCCTAATAACTGAAACAGTGTGATAGTTTTCTCTCATTTTAGGTTTCCACCTTCTTCACCCCTGAAACCATACCCAAAGAGATCACCTTACCAAGCAAGTGTTATCAAATTCCCAGACTGGACTGATCAACCACCAGGCACTACCCAAGAAAACATACCCGTGAGACCTATTATTATGGTAAGTACAATTACAGAAAGTTGGGGAATGGTAGCAATGGCAAATAGTATTGAAGCACCTGACCTGGTCCTGTTTTTCCCACTCCTCACTCTACTGATGCTGTATCATTCATCTAAATACATTCTGGAACTAAGTCCCTGCCAACAGTAGAAGGGCCTGTTATGAGGAGCTCTTTAGTGCATGTTCTAATATTGACAGAAAAATATAGTGGATATTTTGTGGCTTTATTTTTTCTTTTTGATACAGGATGAAACTTTCCATTTATCCTTCATTGATTCTTACTAGTGATCACTTTTTATCCTCTGATCTATAACATCCTTTATTCCTTTTCCTTTTCCCTTTTTTTCTCATCACTATCTTTAGCTTCTCAGTTACCAGTAGAGAGAGAACAGATTAGGAGAGGGAATTTGTGAAGTGGAAAATTCCAATGAGCAGCAGTGGGTTTTGTCAGTTGTAGAAATTACCTAGGCTCTTAGCCAATGTGAAATACCCATCCTCCACATTCTCTTTTCCCTACTGTTAAATTTCTTCAGTAGGAGCCTGTTGAGACTAAGATAATTTAGAACTGAAAAATGGAGCATAGTAAGATTAAAATAATAATAATAGCTAACATTTATACTGTGCTATGAAGTCCTTTATATATACAATCTCATGTGATTCTCACAATAACTCTGGGAGGTAGATGTTATTGTGCCCATTTACAGATAAGGAAACTGAAGTTTGAGAAGGATTAAGTGAGTTGCCTAGCACCATGATGCTAGTAAATGTCTAAGGTAGGATTCTAACTCAGGTTTTCTTGACTCCAAGTCCAATGCTCTGTCTACTGTACCACCAGCTAACTTGAGAATGAATACACACTTATATATGTGTGTATAGATATGTGTGTGTATGTATATATATATATATATATATAGTATACATACATATAATATATATAATAATCTTATATATTAGCCTGTTTTTTTAATCAGGCTTATCATTTAACATAGCTATGTTTTTAAAAGTATGATGAAATCTCTGATCTTTTTATAATGAGATTTTTATCACATTGCACAAGAGTTTTGGTTTTTTTTTGTATCAGACAGTCAACAAGTACTTTTTAGGCTCCTGCTATATGTAGGGACTGTGCTGAGTGCTAGGGATAGATAGCAACTTCACTTCTGAGTTCCTGAGGACGATGCCCAGAGAGTACAGGCTCCAGCAAGACCTCAGAGGCTGTAAGTACAGGCTTGATATTGGACTGTGTGTCATCAAGGACCTGTCCAGCTGAATCTGGAGAAGCTAATCACTAAGAAGTTGATGAATTTTCATTGGTCATAACTCGTGAAGATTGTTTAAGGCAACAGAGTAGCTTGATTCTCATTGGAATTCTCATACTGATGATCTCATAGAACTTTTGAAATATGGAGGTATATAACATTGGGTCTACCCAGTATTCTAGGGCTTTTTTCTTTTCTTTTTTAATTTATGGAATAATATAACATAGTATAATAAAAAAAGATGATTGCACATGAAGCTGCAAATCTACTACATATAGCTTGCTATTCCTTTTAAATATACAACAAAGTTATCATATAAATTTTTTTCTTCCCTCCCCTCCCACTACCCTAGAGATGGCCACCATTAGACAGAAATAAGCATATACATATATGTGTGTATATATATATATATACACACACACACACACACATGTAATTATTCTATAAATCTGTTAACAATTCTTTCTCTGGATATAGATGGAGTGTATACATATAGCTTTATTTTTATTTAGTATTTTATTATTCCCTAGTTACATGTAAAAACAATTTTTAACCTTCATTTTTAAATCTTTGAGTTCCAAATTCTTTCCCTTCCTCTCTCCCTAGTCCCCCCCCCACCCATTGAGAAGGCAAGCAATTCGATGTAGGTTATACATATGTAGTCATGTAAAACATATCCATGATAGTCATATTGTGAAAGAAACCATAGACAAAAAAACCCCAAGAAAAGTAAAAAAAAGTATGCTTCAATCTGTATTCAGACACCATTGATTCTTTCTCTGAGGATGAATAGCATTTTTTTATTATATGTCCTTTAGAGTTATCTTGGATCATTGTATTGCTGAAAATAGCTAAGAGTAGCTAAAGGGCAACAGTGGATCACCTTACACTGTTGCTGTTACTTTGTACACAGTACATTTCACTTTGCTGCAGCCCATACAAGCCTTTCCAGGTTTTTCTGAGAGCATCATGCTCATCATTTCTTATAGTACAATAGTATTCCATCATAATCACACACCACGACTTATTCAGCCATTCCCCAATTAATGGGCATCCCCTTCATTTCTAATTCTTTGCTTCCAGAAAAAGCTGCTATAAATATTTTTGTACATATTGATCCTTTTCATTTTTTTTTTATCTCTTTTGGGATGCAGACTTAGTTGTGGTATTGCTAGGTGAAAGGGTATGCATGGTTTTATAGCCTTTTGGGCATAGTTCCAAATCGCACTACATAATGGTTGAATCAGTTCACAACTCCAACAGTGCACTAATGTCTCATTTTTCCCACATCCTCTCCACTGTTTGTCATTTTCCTTTTCTGTCCTATTAGCCAATCTAATAGGTATGAAGTAGTACCTCAGAATTGTTTTGAGATCAATGTCATACTTGTTACATCTTAGAATGGAATAAGGCAGATGAGGAATGTGAAGAAAGTTATTGCCTGAAGTGATTTTTGATTGATACTGATAGGAGGCATAGTGGATAGATAGGGCATTGGCCCTGGAGTCAGGAAGATGTGAATTCTAATTCTACCACAGCAGTTTCGGAGTTCAAATCTGGCCTCAGATACTTACTAGCTGTGTGACCCTAGGCAAGTCACTTTACTATGTTTGCCTTAGTTTCCTCATGTGTAAAATGAACTGGAGAAGCAAATGGCAAACCACTCCAGTATCATTGCCAAGAAAAACCCAAATGGGGCCACGAAGAGTTGAACATGACTGATACTACTGAACGACAAATAGATTGATGAGTCATTATCTAGGACACATATAAATTTCTCAGCCACATCATCTCTACTCTCTCTCCAACAGTGAGGGGAATTCTGCAGTACTTTCTCTCTATGAACATTAAAGCAGAGTTTCTGACAACTTAAGAGAGAAAGTAAAATTTCATAAATATGCCCACATAAATAAAAAGGAGTGAGATTTAGTTAAGGTGTCATGAATAGAACTGGAATCAGGTCAGAACAAGAGTTAACAGCCCATTTCTTAAGACAAATATCAGAACAATGAAATTCTTTTTTTCTATTTGCCAATCACAAGTATTTAAGTAATTTTAATTTTGACTCCTGGACTTTAGATTTTGTGGTAATTTGGATCCAGTCTATCTACTTTGCTATCATGGAATTCTCTTAGTGGAATTTTCACTCCCTCTGGTCTTTCAGAAAAGAAATCATTGCATCAGCTACTCTCAGAAGGCAGTCAAGCCTGGGACCACCTCCCATTTAATTAAATCCAGGCACCTGTTTCTAGCTTAGCTTATCACACACATAATTCCTGGAAAAAAAATGATAAATATTTGTTTTTAAAAAATACTACAATTTCATTGATTTGGACAGATTTTCTCTTCCTTTATTCCAAATGCTTCTAAACCATTGTCTAAGTCAGAGAAAAGAATGCCACCTATAGTTAGCCTTCTCACTATTAAGTACTCCCTGATGGAGTTCCATGGGAGCTATAGGATTCCTGTGTACTGTTATGATCCAAATACTTATACAACCTATATGTTACTATAACTACTTCCCCACCCTCTACCCTTACATCTGGATTGTCGGGGTAGTTAGTGCTTACTTATAGTTGTTCCTTTAAAATCAAGTTTAGACTTGAACCTAGTCACAGAACATAATTTGCAGGAAGAGAATTCCATTTTTATATTGAAATGTTTTATATTAACTTTTTTTCTTTTGGGCGTGATGATGTGGGGATGAGTAGAATTCTGAATCATGGTACAAGCGTCACAGTATCGCAATTGGAGAAGTGCCTGCCTGCCGCCTTGTCTACCGGAAGCAACTGACAGAGGCCAATGTGGAGGAGATCTGGAAGTCTATGACATTATCACAGTAAGTCTATTTGGCTCTCTCTAAATGTGGCTATTGCTTAAAACATTCAGGAACATCCCTCTGCTCTAATTGCTACACAGATTTGCCTGTGGTTTATTTTTTGCAGTTGGAAAATTAAATCCATATTGTTTATACTAATTAGATGTGTTTACTATTAAGCTTTAGTTTCAACTTTTGTTTGCTCTATTTTGCTGCTATGATGCATAGAGAAAAGATTTCACTGAAGCTTGGGAGTTTTCTGCTTTCCATTCATATACCATTTTTCTTTTTTTGCATGATGATTAAGATCAGGGAGCTTTTCTAAGACCAGAGGATTCTGTACACTTGCCAATAACAGTTAAGTGTTTAGCTTAATGAGGCAGGGAATGGAAAATCTGGTCTCCTTTTATATGAAATACTGTAGGTAATGAAAGTTAATATTATGAGTAGAAAAACATTTTCTTCTCCCACAAAAAAATATACTTGTGGCAGTTTCTAATCACTGACTAAGCTGGCTCCTCTGTAGTTTTCATATCTTTACTTGTAAAGTGATGTTTTTGGCATTCAGGGATTTCTATTACCATAATAGTGAAGCATGAGCATGTTAATAACTAAAGAATATTGTATAAGTCAGTCTCCACCCTATTTGTCCCTGCCCTTCTTTCCCCATGAAACCATGGAGGTAATAAATATACAAAGAATGTATTATAGAGATTGATTTCTCATCATGTTAGATTTTGAGGTATTTTTCATTTTTAAAAAAGAATTAAGCTATTATGAATTATTATTTTTTAACAGTTTACAGAAAATCCTTGAACTGGACTCCCTGGAGGAAGTTTTGGATACCAAACTTGTCAACTCAAAGTTCATCATCCACAATGTATACAGTGTTAGTAAGCAGGGAGTTGTCATCCTCACGGATAAATCAAGTGAGCACATAGTAATGCTTTGTTCTAGAATGACTTTTTTGGTAACATGGTACTATGTCAACTTTGATAGCTTACAACCTGTTACTCACTGTCTTACTACATGGCACAGGGAATGGAGCATTAGGCTTGGAATTAGGAAAACTTGAGTTAGAATCCTGCCTTACACACTTGTTCAATCATTTTAGTCATGTCTGACTCTTTTGTGACCCCATTTGGGGTTTTCTTGGCAAAGATGCTGGAGTGGTTTGCCATTTTCTTCTGCAGCTCATTTTAAAGATGAGAAAACTGAGACAAACAGGGTTAAGTGACTTGTCCAGGGTCACATAGCTGGTAAGTATCTGAAGCCAGATTTGAACTCAGAAGATGAGTCTTCCTGACTTCAGGCCTAGTGCTCTATTCACTACTGCACTTAGCTGTCTCTCAGTTTCAGGTTCCTTGTCTCTAAAATGGGAATAATAATAGCACCTACCTGAAAAGGTTATTGTGAAATTCAAACAAGATAATGTATCTAAAATGCCTTGCAATGCATAAAACCCTACATAATATAATAATACAATATATAATATCTCATATATATTATGGTATAATACTAGCTAATATTTATATACATATGTTAGCTATTATTATTCTATATAAATGAACAGCCTTCTCTAATTTATTTTTCATTTTCCTAATTAAAAAATTCATACTAACCATAATTACTCTCTCTCTTACTTCTGTTTCCTTTGTTCTTCCAAATCTTTCTACTAATTTTTTTTTTAGGCAATTGGGGTTAAGTGACTTGCCCAGGGTCATACAGCTAGTAAGTGTCAAGTGTTTGGTCTGAGGCCGGATTTGAACTCAGGTCCTCCTGACTTCAGGGTTGGTGCTCTATCCACTACACCACCTAGCTGCCACCTAGCTGCCCCCTCTACTAGTTTTTTAAATCCAAAAAATGCCCTAGAGAACAATAACAAAGGGCCCAACAAACTGCTTCCCACTTCAAAGTTTTTATTTTTGAAAATAGGTCAAACCTGGGGGGGCCCTTAGGTGGTGCAGTGGGTAGAGCATGTGACCTCAGACACTTGACACTTAACTAGCTGTGTGACCTTGGGCAAGTCACTTAACACCATTGCCTAGCAAAAAACAAAACAAAACAAAAAAAGAAAATAGGCCAAACCTGGCCTGGACTCCTGGTATAAAGGTTGTCCTCCAGGGGGCCTTGAGGTGGATAAGTTTGAGACCCATCAGGGAGTTCAGATCAACTTCCAGGTTGCCAGATTCCTTCTAAGGCCATGGAGGGTGCCCTGGACCTTCCCTAGAGCAGATTTGGGCCCCAGTATGAGCCCCAGGGTTCTTTCACCTTCTCTTCACTGGACCAGAGATGAACTCATCCTGAGTTAGATTTGGGGATGAGTGACAGCTGGTGTGGCTCCTTTCCTGATTCTCCTTTAGTCTAAACCCTTCCTGTCAGCATTGGGTGGGCTGGGATGTTACTTGCTGGAGTTTTGTTGAATTCAGAATAGGAAGCTCCTGGACAGCTAATAGAGATGGATTGAGGGCGGTTCCATGGCAGTAGTGGGACAGTGTGAGATTGTGTAGGTTTTATTTTCTGTTAGGAAGGCAGGGTATTTCTCTGGAACCTTCTTATTCCCAGCATCTTCTTTCTGCAGCAGGAGACTACTGGGGAAAGAGAAATGTAAAAAAAAAAAATTGATTAGTGTCTTTATAAAAAATTGTCCAACAAATAGGAATGTGAATTTAGGTATGCTAGTGGGGCATATCAGGTGTGAAATTTGAAACATTCCCTACAACTCTTTTCTATGTCTTCCCCAGAGGACTTGTGGGGTTTTTTTAAATTTATTTTTATTCTGAACTTACCAAGCATAAAATAAAATTTTGGGCATTAGTACATACATGGTAGAAAAGAAAAAGAGGATTGTACACAAAAGTGTAGATCCCTATTATGTGCAAAATCCTGTTGCATTCAAAGCTATACTGCTTGTCCATGCTTTTTTTTTCTTCTGACTCTTCTTCTGTTCTCTGCATGTTTAAAAAGGTGCCTGATTGTCCCTGCTTCCTTCCCTCTCCTTCCCCCTCCCCCCTCCCTCCTCCCTCTCTCCCTTCCTTCCTTCCTTCTTCCTTCCTTTCTTCTTTCCTTTCTTCTTTTCTTCCTTCCTTCCTTCTTTCCTTCCTTTCTTCTTTCCTTTCTTCTTTTCTTCCTTCCTTCCACCCTTCCTTCCTCCCTCCTTCCCTCCTCTTTCTTCTTTTCCTTTATCCTCCCATTCCCCCACCTTCCCACATTGGGAAAACAAGAAAAAAAGGGAGGGGAGAGGCTATTATTTTTCTAATTTATGAATTTAATTTATTTATTTTTATTTTTATTCTGAACTTTCCAAACATCAAAAGAATGGTCATCTGCTTTTGCATAGTAGAATAGATTGTACATTAAATTGCAGATCTTTATTATATATAGTTTGCTTTTCTTTTTGAACTTTTAATCAGCTCAGTTTATAGCTTTCAAAGTTGTCTTGCTTGTCTGGCATTTCTGGCCTTCACTTTGTCTTTTTCTTTCCCTATTTCAAAGAAATGTCTTAGTGAGGACCTTTTCCCCCTCACTCCTTTCCCCACTTTTTTTTAAAAACTGTATTTCTGTCCTCCTTCACTATCTCATTCTTCCCATTGCAAAATAATAAAAAACCAAAATAAAACAAAACAAGGAAAGACTGGTATTTTAATGTAACTTGGTAAAGAGTATTGTTTGTAAGTGAGAGAACCACTCATCCCTCCTTTCAGAAAAGAAGTGCTTCGGAAAGGCATTGAGGATGCTCTACAAGTATTGGCCGCTGAATAACTAAGTCACAAACCAACCTGTCAGACTCATTGAAAAGAAACCTACTGTGTCTCCTTTATTTTGCTGTCTTTATTGCTCTGGCAGAAAGAAGCCCAGATCCATAAAACTGGGGAAAGGTGATAGATAAGGGAGTCGTGAGGGCCTGCTTGACTCTCATGAGGATTCTGAGAGGGGAAAGAGAAAGAGGAAAGAAAGTCTTATCACAGTGTACCAAGATTGAGCTGAGTTTTTATGGTCGTGCTTTATTTTAGTAACTTTAAGGCTTCTGTAATTATAACAACAATAATAATGACAATAGTAGCAATCATAACTGACATTTATGTCATGCTTGCCTATGTGCCAGGCACTTTGCTAAGCACTTTACAATAAATTCATTTGATCCTCACAACAATCCTGGGAGGTAGGTGCTATTATTATCCCCATTTTATAGATGAATAAACAGGCAAACTGGGGTTAAGTGACTTCCCTGGGGTCACATAGCTAGTAAGTGTCTGATTCTGTATTTGAACTCAAGTCTTTCTCACTCCAGGCACTGTGCTTTATCCACCGTGCTTTCTAGCTAATATTAATGTCATAACTCCATGTACAGATAGAGAGTGCTTGGGTTAAGTAAAAGGATACTAAATAAAAGACTGGCTCTGTGATTTCAGTGGTATAGGGAACTCTAAGGTGAGGAAATTCCTTCTACAAAGTCAACTTACAGCCAATAAAGAAGCCTAAAGGTGTGGTTCTCAAACGTTTTGGTCTTAGGACCGCTTTACACTCTTAAAAATTATTGAGAATCCCCCTCCCAACCCCAACCCCCACCAAGAGCTTATGTTTACATCAGTTATAGCCATTGATATTTACCATATTTTAAAAAATCCACAATATTATTATGAAAATATTTCTGACCTCACAGACCCCCTGAAAGGGTCCTCAAGACCACACTTTGAGACCTGATGGCCTGAAGTATTGAGAGGTTAAGTGACTTGCCCAGGTTCACCCAACCAGTTTATGGCAGAAGCAGAATTTAAACCCAGCACTCCCTGGATTCAAAAAAGTCCAATTTTTTAATGTACCCTACCTACTCCTTCTCCCCCTACTCCCCCAAATGAAGTACTTCGAAAATAGAAATAGACAGATGAGTAACACTTGCATGCTGAGTTTGTGGATTTTAGCACTAATTAGGTGATTTAAGTAATCCGTTTCATGGGGCCTACTTGATGCTAAATTCTGTCAACTCCTTTGTTTCTCCTCATTTTATGAACTGCTGAAACTGCTGGAACTAACTGTACAATATGTATTTTGCTAAAAAACTTGGAAGGTAGAATGGCTGAAGAAACTTGGGATAATTTGCTTTCCAAAATGATAATCCTTTGATTTGTGCAAATGTATTTTCCTCTTGTAAAATGGATTAATTGACTATTTTAATATTACTTATATGCTCATATTGAATTAATACAAATAAAACTCATGGCTTGTAAGCATAAAATATATGAATTGGGTTCTTGCCATGTATATAATTTCTTTGATTATTTGGGATTCGTTGAAGTAACATTTTCATTCATTTTCCTGCAGAAGAACTTCCTCATTGGGTACTGTCAGCTATGAAATGCTTAGCAAATTGTAAGTATGCTTGTAAGTAAGCACACTAGATCTACCAATTTAGCCAATGCTATTGGCCTAAATAGAAAAAACATGACTTCTATTTAGCAAGATTGTTTTTGAGAGCACTTAACACAATACCTGACATGTAGTGAGGGCATAATAAATGTTACTGATTGCTAATACTAAGAGACATCATCACCATCATCATCATCATCTTTCTTCTTCTCTCCTCTCCCCGTGTCCCACCAAATTATCACATACAAATTATTCCATGGCCAATTTGTACTTTTTGAACACTTAATGTGCATGGAATCCTGAACTAAGTGTCGTAGGGAAGACAAAGCAAATAGATAAAACTGTCATTCAGTCTAACTTAGTCATATATAATTAGTTCTTTGGGCTTGAGGAGTTATTTAAAAAAGTGTCCTGCAAGTGAAATATTATCACTTCTTACGGTTTGTGTCCTTCATGTTAGCGACACCTAGACCTATACCAGCTGTGTCTTCTCCATTAGTCTGTGAGCTTCTTGTGAGGAGAGACTGTCTTTTACCTTTCTTTGTATCCCTACCCCTTAGCAACATGTTGGACACATATTAGGCATTTAATAAATGTTTTATTGACTGACTTATTGTTGTTCAGTGGTTTTTAGTCATGTCCAACTCTTTGTGACCACATATTGAGGTTTTGTTGGCAAAGATGCTGGAGTGGTTGGCTATTTCCTTCTCCATCTTATTTTACAGATAAGGAAACTAAGACAAACAAGGTTAAGTGACTTGCCCCAGGTCACGTAGCTAAAAGTATCTGATGCCAGATTTGAACTTAAGATGAGTCTTCCTTTACTTCAGACCTGGAACTCTACCTAGCTGCCCCAAGCTGACTAATGTTTATTATTGCTGTTGCTGTTGTCATTTCTCTGTTAAACTGCATTCTGATATGTAATATCTTGCTTTTTCTCCTCAGTCTTTACTTCACCAATGGATCATGGCACGGAAGGAGCCCTAAGCTCTCAATGCCAGCAGAGCATAAGATCTAGTAGGTCCTACTAATCTGAAAAGGCTTTGAGTACAGACTCATCAATGAACTGTATATATCTCCCCTGAGGAATGGCCTTACCAGATTTGGAGAGGTTCATCACTAGAGGATTGGCCACCAGATGACAAATATTTCTTTTGGCCTCAGCACCTCATTAAATGGTTTAGTAAGGCTTGGAAGGGTCACAGTCTGCACTGGTGGAGGGAGGAGCCATGCAGACAGTCATGGACACTGCAATTTTGAAGTAATGTCTTGTCTAATTGGCTTGATTTGTAAGGAAATCATTCTGACTCAAATGTCTGAGTTATGGAACATTTTAAAATAAATGCAGCCTTTTTAACTTCAAAATGAAAATTTCTGGATTTATTAAGTTCTCATTCACTCTAGGCAGAGCGCTATTATACTAGTTTCTTGGTAACAGTTAGATAAAATAGTAGTACCTCATATAAGCAATATAATTCACCAAAATTGTTATGATTAAATTAGAAATAATATATGCATCTGAGTAGCATATCATCAAAACTCAGTCACAGTTCATTGTGTGGTCTGAGAGGGGAAAGGTCATTCCTTTTCAAGGCATGTGAAGGATGGTTGAGAGAACACAGGGGAGAAGGCTTGTCAGTAGGCATTGAAATAGTCCAGGAAGGTGGTAATTAGGGCCTTTACTAGGGTGGTAGTAGTATGAATGGAGAGCAAGGGATGGATTCAAGAGAGACTTGGGGAAAAGACTGAATTTAGTTATTGGATATGAGAGTTGAGAGAAAGAGAAGAGTAAGAGATAACTCTAAGACACAAAATGAAGTTAATAAGAAAAGGAAAGGAAGAAGAAGGTTATACTTTTTCAGGGCTCTGATCTATGAGAATTATTCATAATTAGCATATCCATTATTGCATACAAGTTGCTACTAAAGTCATATTTGAAAACAATATGCAAACCCCTGCTGCCAAGAAGGCTACACTTTCTTCCTTTTGACCCTATTTCACATCGTTTTCTCTCTGTAGCACAGATGATCCAGGTAGAACTGTAAAGTATTTCTCCTCCCAGTGTCTTCTAATCTATTTTTGTCACCCATTGGCATGTTGGACTGAGAGTCTGGATATGCGTTCATAGCTCAGCTCTACTATGGACATAACACTTGACCACTCAGCTCCTATTTCCTCATTTGTAAAATGAAGAAGTTGGAACAGATTCTGAGATTCAATGGAACAGATTCTATGCTATTCCATTCTATGATTTTGTGTTATACCTTGGCTACTTTTCTGTCATTTCTTATCTTTACCAGCTCACCTGCCTTCCAACCTTTCTCATGTTCTGGTTTTTCTTCTTCTCTACCTCCTCCCCATAAAAATCATTTGCCTGTATCACATTGCCTCAGGACCATGTTCTCTGGGTTTTAATGAGTGCCAGTTGAATAAATATTTATTGAGTTCTGGGAGTTACAGAGGGCTGAAAAGAGAGTGACAGTCTCTGCCCTTATACAGCTTACAGTTCCATTGGTGAAGCAAGACTTAGACATAAGAGAAAATTAGAGAATAATACAAGATGACATTAGAATGCAGTGCCAAAATGGAGAGTTTGCTATGAACTTGAGTAGTCAGCAAAGATTTTTTGGGCAAGGTTGGCTTTGATTGGAATTGAGTAGAAAGAGCAGTGGTGTATGAATTCCAGGCAGAGGTGAGTGACCCACGTGGAGAAAGGTTTACTGTAAGGTTTCAGAAGGGTCTTTCATCTTTCTATCCTCTATACCTTGCACTCAGTACCTAGCATGTAGTAGATGCTTAATAAAAGTTTGTTGCATCAAAGAATAAGCATGACATATTCAAGGGATAAAAAAGAGACTGTCTCAGATGGAATGAAAAGTTTGAGTGGAGACTAGTGGCCCCCGATGTTGGAAGGTAAAGGAAGAGCTATCATATAAAGGACCTTCATTGCTGACCTGAGGAGTTTGAATATTATCAAATGAGATAATATTTGTAAAAAGCACTTAGCCCAATACCAGGCACCAAGTGAGTGCTACATAAATGCTTCTTCCCTTCTTTCTTTCCTCCCTATGTGATCCTGTGGTCAGGTTGTATCATGGATTCCTTTGGCAGTTTGGTGAAACATAGACCCTTTCTCAAAATAATGTTTTTGTGGGAATAAAATAAAATAGGACTAAAAAGGAAATACATCTTTAAAAAATAGTTATCAATATAACTCTCCATCAAACTAGATAAACCTAGAAAGCCATTAAATGATGACTAAAGGCTCAGAAATGAGACCTCTTAAAAAGCATTAAAGGAACTAGAATTATCTATCCATGGAAAAGAAAAAGCTGATGGATGATTAAACAATGACCGTTAAATGTATTAAGTATACTTATATTAGGTTGTAATTTCTGGAGGCTTAGACTGCCATATATATATTTGTCCTCCACCCCTTAGTGCTTTATATGCAACATTTGCTAAGTAAATATTTGTTAAGTTTTCCCATTGTGTATATTCACTAAAGTCAATACGATAGGGAAAGACCTTAAGCAGTGCTTTTGAATCCACTTCACAGGATCAGTAAATTTACCAGGATTCCATTTGGCCAGAAAAATGTTCTTTGACCTCTTTCAAAGTCATTTCACCTACAAACCCAGGTCCTCATGAAAGCCTTCAAAAGAGCAATCTATTAGATAGATAGGTTATCTTGTATTTTTAGGCCCATTGCCTCGTTTTCTTTGTTTGCTCTCTCCTTTTCAATTTTTTTTCTAAGTCTTCTGCATATGTGATTATTTTTTCCCTTCATAAAATCATTATACTCTTAGAGCTGGAAGGGACCTCAGAGCTTGTATAGGCCAACCTTCTCCTTTTTCAAAAGATAAAACTAAGGTCAAGGGAGGCAAGAATTTCATGCTGCTATTAGTAGAAGTTATTCAAATGGACCTATGATCTCACTGATTTAGGAGTTTCCTCCAACGTTGATCACAGCCTAGCATGTCTGCCTGCCCAACCTGTGCCACTCTTGTCCTTATCTCCCCTAAGGTCTGTCATGGAGGGTCTGCCCAGTGTGCTTGAGGCCTTTCTTGTTTTCTCCTGACATCACGGTATTGACCTTTACAATTGTATTGCCTCCCATGCAAATCTCTCTGTAGATTTAACATAATCTGGTGGTTCTTGCCTTGGTTTTCTTTAGTGCCATTTCAATCTCTTTGATAACACTTCAAAGACTGTGGTGTTGGGGTTCAGGTGTGGTGTTCCTTGATACCTATCCTTAATGGAGAAAAAATTTAAATTTTTTTTTAACAAATCTTTTCCATTTTTCTTTTATTTGTGGTCCTTTTTTCCATCTTCATCTTCAAATGTCCTTAGGATGATTTTGCTTAGTTGGTATTTTGTGAAGCTTTCTTAAAATTGGTTTTTACCCTTCACTGCTTTTCTTTCTTCTTTATTAGACTGTCACCTTTCTTTATAAGGTTTTAGAAATGGGCTCTTTTATCTGCTTGTTAGAACAATTAACTCACGTTGGTTTAACTTCTCAATTACATTATAATAGTTGTTGATGTCATTTCTGGTATCCATTTCATATTTTTTATAACATTTAAGTAATTCAAGGTCAGATCTTTCTAATTGTGTGCTATCTTTTTTCCCTCATTATTCTTCCTTTTTCTTTTTTAAAATACAAATTCTGATCTTTACTGTCACAAATTGATGGTCTGACTGTAACAAGATAATTGACTCAGGAATAACTTCTACCTCAATATGATATCCTTTTGTGTTTGTTAAAATATAGGGAATTTTTGGGGTTTTATGCTGCTGTTTATTGTTCTCTATGACCTATCAATTCTTTTTTTTTTGAAGAAAGTATTCATAAAGCTTCTGCATAATTTACAAGTATTTAGCTTCTCTCTTTTTCTTCTAAGACATACTTTCTCATTTATTTCTTCCCATACTGACATTTTCCATCTTTGCAATGAAGTCACCAAGAATCAGAGTATAGGTCCTGATTAGTAAGAACAATGGATCCCATTAAGGGATCACCTTATTCAGATTTGAACTTCATGTTTCTCTTGGGCTGGAACCAATGACTATATTTTATATAATTATAATTTCAGCTAGCATGAATTTGAATACGTGTGACATTTCATGGGTTTAGTTATTTATGCTAATCAGGATGTGGCTGATTTGATTTGAAGAGTTTTGTGAAGTCAAGTTCTTGATAAAATATCTCTGCCATCTTATCCTCAGTAACTGATGTTAGTGAGTGAGCAACATTAATTTTGTGGTTGGCTTTTTGTAAAGAGTTGTATTATTACTATAATATGTGATGAAAAAATGTCCTATGGAGTAATATTTCTTATATTTAGGTATATGATAAAACCAACTTCCGCCAACTTCTTTCTTTGCCTCTTCAAGGAGTGCTTGTGGGCTATCCTTCTGTTTCCCTGCATCTTTCTTCTTTTGTTCTGATTTATTTTATAATTTCAAGAATTTTGAGACTGATATGATTTAGCTCCCCTATTCAATGAGTATGTCTATTCATTGGTCACTGTACAAAGACTTTTCATTTAGGAGTTGTTTTGGTTGTATAATTAGTTTTCAAATTGTGTCTGATTCTTCATGACCTCATTTGGGGTTTTTGTGGCAAAGATACTGAAGCGGTTTGCTATTCCCCTTCTCTAGATCATTTTACAGATGAGGAAACTGAGGCAAACAGGGTGAAATGATTTGCCCAGCATAACACAGCTAGTAAGTGTGTCTGAAACTGGATTTGAGCTCACAGAGAAAAATCTTCCTGACTCCAGGCCCAGCACGTGTCACCAGTAGACCACATGAAGCTTGTTGACAAAGTAAACATTGTAATTCTTTATATCTTCTACCCCCTTTCCTGCTACTCTGCCACCTCCCTGCAGAAGTAAAAGGGGGCTGTACCAGAATGAAGGCCATTTTTTCATTTTTCTTTGTTTTTTTGGGTCGCTATGGACAGAAGTTTTTTTTCATCGTGGAATAGTCAGTCTACTAGTGATGTGTCTATCTGTGATTACTTAGGTTGGTCTTTGAAAAACAAACGCAGTTTGTTGGCCGTGGTATATCCAAAGACTTTTCCTTAATGGTAGGAATCTGCCCGAGTTTTACAAGGTTATGTGCTCTCTGGCCTACCCTTTGAGAAGCCATGTTACTTTGTGAAAGTGGAGCAAGTTACTGAAGCAAATTGTAAAATCTCCTTCTCTGGATGGTTTTAAAAATAGGATTGAATCCTTTACCCAGATACAAGGAAATAGATAACTGTACTGTACTATATGATTTCATGGTGTCGAAAACATAGGAATAGTTGTCTTTTTCATGTGATTTTATCAAAATGGTATATTCTTTACAAAACTGCACCAAGTGATAATTTTTCAGTTTCCCTAGGAATTATGTTTACTTCAGTATCTCAGCATAACTGTATCATAGCCAAGAAAAACTTGAGAATATCTGAAAGCTACTGATACCCTTTGTTTTTTAAAAAAGATTTTTTAGAAAGGCACAAAGAAAATTTAAAAATTTAATAAACAATAAATTTATTTATTAAAATAAATCTCTTTTAAAATAGATTAAGTTACAGTCTAATTCTTCTTGCTTTTTTAAAAGTGATGTTAAATTGTCCATAACACTCTGCCACTAACTCACTGTGTAGCCTTTGATAACTCTCTTCCCCTTTCTGTTCTTCAGTTTCCTTATCTGTAAAACGAGCAAGGTGGACTGGCTGATCTTTGAGCTCTTTTCCAGTGCTCACATCCTGATTCTCTGAACGTGAAATACGTAGTTAGCCAATGTTAAGGCTCTACGTTTCGTTGTTGTAACCATTTATGTTTACAACATTAGTTTTCTTTATGAAGCTTATTTGATCTTTCCTAAAAATTTTTACCTAGCTTACTTGTGCTAATGACATTCCTTTTTCTTTCTTTCTTTTTCTTTTTCAAACAGGGCCTACTTGTTCAGACTTGAAGCAGCCTATGTATTCAGGGTTTGAAAAAGATGTCTTTAAAACTATAGCAGATTACTATGGTCACTTGAAGGAACCTCTGCTCACATTTCAGCTTTTTGATGTCTTTGTCAGTGTACTGGGTAAGTTGCAATATAATGAATGGAAGACTGCACCATAGGAATGGAACCATTTCTTCTTGCATTATCTTAAGGCTTTTGTCTGCTACAGCTGGCAGTATTTCAGGGAATTAAAATCTATTGTCCAATGAAGGGTGTTTGATTTAGTTTCAACTCTTCTATGAGAATACTCTAAGGCAGGAAGACACGTAAGACAACTTAAGACATGTATGAGACCCCAGGCAAAAGGCCTATTGGTTTAAATTTTATGAAGAATAATAATATACTGGAATATCATCTTATGAGAAAGTCTAACATCACTGCTGAAGTAGCAAGTGAGTTTGGCATTTACGATCTTTTATTAAATCTACTACACAGGATATGACTTTATTAACACCCAAGTGTAGGAGCTTTATTTTTAACCAGGAGAAAGAAATGAAAGAAATATATTTTTACATGGACGACAGCATTTCAGTCTTGCATATTTATCTTCCTGACAAATAATCCCCATCCAAGAAGTCACATAGTAGGGTGAATAAAGTTCTTGTTTTCGTTGTAGGTTCTCCAAAATTTGTTACATTCTTTAGGGAAGCACATTCTTGATTGGCCATTTTGATGTTCTATTTGGTAATCATTCTTGTTTTGACACTAAGGAGTTTGATTAAAAGTCCAAATCACATGATATAATATAAAAAGGAGAGAATTAGCACATCCTGGGTCTTCAACATTCTTGATGTTTTAACAGGAGACATAATCTCCCTGCCTGGAGCTGTACAATTAATGGCTATTGCTGTGGTGCCTAAGAAACGGGAAAATTGTCAGCTCTGTGAATACAAATTGTTGTTCTGTGAATGAGAAAGCTGATACTTTAACATGGTAATTTGGAGCCTAGAATATTGTCAGAACTCATAGTATTAAGCAATAACAAATACTAATTATAAGGCATGCACCAGGGAGTAGATTTGTGTTTTCAAAACAAGTCAACACTGAAGAAAAGAATCCAGAAACAATTGTCTGCTACCTGGATTTTACTGTCTTTCTGCATTGTGCCTAGTTTTTTTTTTTTTAAATAGAACCTTAGTATAAGAAGAGACCCTCAGGTACCATTGAATCCAGAACCTATCCAGGTCATCCGTCCTATTTATAATTTGTCTAATAAGTAGTCAAACAACTTCTTGAATACCTCTAGCGATGGGGAATGTACTACTTCATGAGGCAATTCATTTTATTTTTATACTGTTGTAATTATTAGGAAGCTTTTTCTTTTGTTGAAACAAAATCTGTCTTATTTCTAATTCCCTTGCTATCATAATATTATTCCCCCAAACCCCCACCCCCTGCACCCGCACCCCAAGCATCTTCCACCTACTGGTATTAGTTCTGCTTTCAGAGGGTGGGAGGAAAGGGGTATGTATGTGGGGAAACAGAATGGCACTTTGTTCCATTTTATTTTTTTAAATAAGGTTGTGTTGATTTTTTTTGTTTCTTACATCACTCTGATATCCCATGTATCCCACCTCCTCCCCCTACCAGAGAACCAATCCATATGACAAATAGTATTTTTTAGAGAGGAAAAAAAAGAGTCAGCACAACTGATTGATACATTAAAAAATCCTGAAAATATGTGCAATGGGTAACACTGTGGACCTCCCACCTCCATGAAGAAGTAGCTTAGGGATGTCTTCTCATGGTCTTCATTTGAATCACACTCGATCTTTATAATTTTGTTGTATGTACTTTTGATTTTTTGGGTGTATATTTGTTCTTTCCATTGTTCTTTAATTGTTGTAGTCTTTGTGTGTATTGTTTTCTTAGTTCTACTTGCTTCACTATGTATCAGTTCATATAGATCTTTCCATGCTTCTCTGTTATTTATGACACACTTCATTTCTTATAGCATAGTAATATTCTATTACATTCACACACCACAATTTATTTAGCTATTCCCTAATTGATGGGCATTCACTTTGTTTCTTCTTAGCTATCGTAATAAGTGCTGCCATGAGTGTTTTGGAGTGCATAGGGACTTTTTCCTTATTGATGGCTTCCTTGGAGTATAGTTTCTGGTTCAAAGGTTATGGACATTTTAGTCACTTTATTCGCATAATCCCAAATTGCTTTCCAAAATGGTTGTTATAATTTCACAGTTCCACCAACAAAAATTAGAGTTCCCATCTTTCCATAGTCCTTCCAGTATTGACTGTTGTCATTTTTTTGGCCATTTTTGCCAATTTGCAGGATATGAGGCAAAATCTTGGGGTTGTTTTGATTTGCATTTCTCTTATTATTAGTGATTTGCTCCATGTTATTTTTAAAGGTCAGGAAGAAGTCCCTTAAAGAATATTCATAGAAAGGAAAATGGAATATTATGATTTATCAGTATGATTAGAGGAGGTTATATAGTTAATGTAACCATCTGGTTTGGAGTCTTTACAGAGAAAATTAAAACTGGAGACTTGAACCTAAACTTTGAAATATCCATAGTATCAATTCAATCCTTAATCTTTTTATGTTAGGCAAATTTAGAGTCACATAGTTTACCCTTGAACATCCACTTAAAGTCTTTGAAAAAAGCTACTCGTTGGCTATTCTTGTTCTTCTATTTCTTTTTCTTATCACCATATCTAGCATTTCTAAAATATTATTATGTAATAGTGTTGATAATGGACATCCTTGCTTCACTCCTGATCTTATTGGGAAAGATTCTAGTTTATTCCATTACAGATAATGCTTACTCTTGGTTTTAGTTAGATACCATTTATTTTAAGAAAGGCTCCATTTATTCCTTTGCTCTCTAGTGTTTTTAATAGGAATGAGTGTTGTATTTTGTCAAAAGTTTTTTCTGCATCTATTGAGATAATCACATGATTTTTGTTGGTTTTGTTATTGATATGGTCAATTATGCTGATAGTTTTGCTAATATTGAACCAGCCCTGTATTCCTGGTATAAATACCACTTGCTTGTAGTGTATGTCCTTTGTGATATATTGCTGTAATCTTCTTGATAGTATTTTATTTAAATTTTTTGTGTCAGTGTTCATTAGGGAAATTAGCCTATAATTTTCTGTTTTTACTCTCCCTGGTTTAGATATAAAAATTATATTTGTGTCATAAAGGGAATTTGGTAGGACTCCTTTAACTGTTTTTTTTTCAGACAGTTTATACAATATAGGAATTAATTATGCTTTAAATTTTTGGTAAAATTCACTTATAAATCCATCTGGTCCTGAGAATTTTTTCTTAGCTCATTTGTGGCTTGTTAAATTTCTTTTTCTGAGATAGAGTTGTTTAAGTATTCTATTTCTCTTTCTCTTAATCTGGGTAATTTATCTTTTTGCAAATACTCATTCATTTCACTTATATTGTCAGTTTTATTGGCATATAATCAGGCAAAATAGCTCCCAATAATTGCTTTAATTTCATCTTCATTGGTGGTGCATTCAACCTTTTCATTTTTGATACTGATAATTTGGTTTTCTTTTTTTAAATCAAATTAACCAATGGTTTATCTATTTTATTGGTTTTCTCATAACACCAGCTCCTAGTTTTATTTATTAGTTAATTTTTTTTAACTTTCAATTTTTTATTAATCTTTCTTTGATTTTTAGGATTAATTAGGGGTTTTTAATTTGTTCTTTTTCTAGTTTTTGTTGTTGTTGTTGCATGCCCAATTCATTTTTCTGTTTTCTCTGTGTCTGTTTGTCTTTCTTTTTCTGTGTCTGTGCAACATGGCTAATATGGAAATATGCATGACTTCATATATATAATTGATACATTGCTTGTCTTCTCAGTGGGTGAGGGAGGAACTGGAAGGAGGCAGAGGATGTTTTTTAAAATTATTTTTAAAAATAAATTTTAAAAAATAGTTTTTTTAAAAAAAGAGTTACTCCATCCACTCTGCTGAAGGCTTTTGTGGTGTTTTTTGTTTCGAACTGAGTTTTTAGTCTAGTAAAGGACATTTTACTTTGTAGTTGGACTTAAGGCCAAAGATTATAACCCTGGGAATATTAAGTAGCTGTTGAGGTTTTCGAGGTATGAAATAGGATTTCTTTGAGTTCTTTTAAAATGTACTCTTTTTAAACAAAACCACTTAACTTCACCAAATAAATCTAGGAACAATCCCTTACTGCCTTTAAATTTTTATTGTCTTTCATTTCCAGAAACTGTTTCTTATAGTGAAAGCTGGATGTGTAAGTTGTGAGAACTTGAACTGCCCCAGACATCTGTGAAGATAGCATGGTAGCATGTGAATATCTCGGTTAGCTACAAATGGGAAATGGTTCTGTTGTTTCTCACATTTAATTTAAAACAATCCATGAATAAAATAAGTATTTTCAGTGCTTTTTATATTATACATTTTGGGGGGTAGGTAGTGTCTTGGGTGAAAGATGAAATGAGTAATGAAACAAAGATTCGATCTTCCAAGCATATTCATTTATTCAGCAGTACATGCCAATTGCCCGACAGACTGGCACCAGACTCCCTCTGTATAGGCCTGGACCTCGAATACAGGAGGAGACTAACTTTTATAATTAAAAATAATTAATCAAATAAGGATAATTATCTATTATTATTATTATTATTATTATTATTATTATTAGGCTAGGTAATGAGGTTAAGTGACTTGGCCAGGGTCACACAGATAGTAAGTGCTATGTGTCTGAGGCTGGATTTGAACTCAGGTCCTGACTCCAGGGCTGGTGCTCTATCCGCTGCACCACCTAACTGCCTCTTTTTATTATTATTATTGTTATTGTTATTGTTATTATTTTAGCATAATTATCTAAAAGGAAACAATACAACATTAGGTAATCTTATTTCTAATTGAATAAAAGATTAGGGACTGAGACCCAACAGGTGCAATTCCCTAAAATCAGAGAAGCAGATGTCCCACTTCCCCCAAGAGTCTGTAAACAATCATAAAGAACAAAAAACCAATATCTAATTGATCAGTATGGGGCCAGTTTTCAGATATATGATTGGAGGCAAACTCCTTGCATCAGTCTTTGGGTCTGACTGTGTTT